TCCGGATATCTCTTGCCACGGTCCTCCAGAAACTAACAAAGCTCCGCACGGCAAAGTTCCCATGATGATATTGTATTCATCCGTCTATATGAAAACGCTTATGAATGCCTTACATGGTTCGCCCTGTCGCCTATCGAAATACTTAAATAAACAGAAGCTCCAGCAAGAACGGAAACTTATTACTTTCCTCTCTCATCTTCAAAGGAGAAACAGGCAGAGCCTATAGAGTTTTCTACCTATTTCTCTACTGCCAGCGTCGTCAGAAGTAGTGGAGAGCCTGGAAGATCACATCAGAGAGTGCATGCACAAATGAGGAACACTCACTGATGTCAACACGACTTCTAAACGGGTAGGTCCCACGTCTTGAACTTCCTCGTTGCCGCTGGCCACTGGCTGGTATGCCAGAACTTCCGGGTCATAGCAAGGCTGCCCAGATTGAAAAAGAGATGAGAAGATGGAGCATAGAACTGCTAGGAATCTGAGAGGAATCCGCAGATGAAATGGAAGTGGACTCGACTCTCCAAACTGTCAACTCCAGACTCAATAATCTACTCCAATATTCTCACCCACACGACAACCACGAGCACAATCAGTTTTCCAGTGGCTATCATGATGTCCCCCTCCCAAGAGCATCACACACACACTCTCTCTCTCTCTCAGGCAGTGGGAACCAATCTGCACATCCACGATCATGACAGCAAGATTCAACTCAAAAAGAAAGCAAAGTCACAATCATTCAATACTACGCTACACTACGCGCCTACAAATAATGCAGACCAAGAGAACAAGGAGGAATTCTACAGACAACTGCAATCAACACTGGACAAGACCCCACCCAGTTGGCGACATCAAAATTCTAATGGGTGGGGTGACATGAATGCCAAACTCGGAGCAGACAACACACGAGGAGAACTCATCATGGGTCGAGAGGCACCACTGGGTGAAATGAATGAGAATGGAGAGCCGTTTGCAGACTTCTTCACATTTAATGATTTTGTGATTGGAGGCAGTGTGTACAAACACAAGGATATTCACAAGGCAGCGACATGGATTTGATTTCACCAGCTAGACACACTACACTGGAAATCAGATCCACTTCATCTCAATCTCATAAAAGTGGAGACGCAGCCTACTGGATGAAACATCATGAAGAGGAGCAGATGTAGTTTCACATCACTCATTGTCTAGTGCAAGGAACCTACCTTCAAAATCAAGTTGAAAGCCATCAAAGAAGCTGGTTATAGACCACAGTTCAAGTTCAACACCCAGAACACAAACCGAGGGATGAAACTACAAGGGATATCTTTACATCAGCAATCAAGGCAAGGGAGAGGGAGATGGTGGGGCAGAAGATGAACCAGTGCAAGTACGCACAACGAGAAGAGGAATTGAACACAACCTATAAAACACTGGACAAAGAAGTGAAGAAGAGTGCACGGAAAGATAAAAGACACTTCTACGACCCACTTGCGAGTAAAGCAGAACAGACTGCAGGTAGAAGAGACAGAGGCCTGGCCACACTGTATCAGATAACCAGGTTTTTATCCGGGAAGGGATCAACACAGGTGAAACCAATGAAAGGAAGTGAAGGAAACCTGGCTATCAAGGAGGAGAAACGAGGGAAGCGATGTACTAACCACTTCAAAAAACCCTTGAATCGACCACGACCACTACCCTCAACTCCTCTAGAAATAACACCAGCAGCCACAGAACTATCAATGCACATAAGCCCTCCGATTAAAGCAGAAGGGATGTCCTGAACTCCATAAAGTTGCTGAAAGCCGGGAAAGCAGCAGGACCAGATGGGATTTCTCCGAAAGCACTGAAAACAGATGCAGAGATAACAGAGGACGTGCTCATATCACTGTTGCAGAAGGTTTGGAAGGAGGGAAGGAAAGGTACCTGCAGACTGGAAGAAGGGCTACCTTGTCAAACTCCCAAAGAAGGGAGACGTAAGTCTTTGCAAGAACTGACGCTGAATCATGCCCCTGCCCAATCGAAGCAAAAAAAATGTTATGCTATATCATCCTGGAGAGATTCAAAGGTGCTCTGGATCCGAGATTGAGGCCGGGAACAAGGTGGCTCCGGTAAGAAGCCATGTGCGGATCAAATTGCGGCGCTACGCTACGCACCATCGTGAGACAGAAAAAAGAATGGCAGTCAACTCTCTACCTAAACTTCATCGGTTTTTGAAAAGACCTTCGACAGCGTCTGCCAAGAGGCTGCTTCAACACTACAGTTTCGTGCCGCAAACCTTTATCGACCTCATTCAACAGCCGTATGACGACGTCACATGCAGAGTGTTTCACAATGAAAAGTCCAGTAACACCTCTGAAATGAAGGCAGAAGTAAGACAAGGCTGCCTACTATCACCCATGATCTTAATGATTGTGGTGGACTCGATCATGCAGTAGACCGTGAGGAGCGAGAAGACGGGACTTCCTTCAGGTGAAAGTAGAAAAGACAGGTGATGAAGATACCCAACCAACAACAAGCACCAACCACCATCAACGGAAGAAACCTAAGACAAGTAGTCTCTTTCACCTACAGGCGGCGGCACAGGTTTGGATGTGAAATCCAGGATCGAAAAGACAGCAAGATAGACCCTCATTAACCTGAAATCAGTGTGGAGATCTACTGCACTCAGCATGAAGAACAAGATCCATACTTTCAACACTAACGTCAAGTCTGTGCTTCCACACGGCTGAGAAACTTGGCCCGTTATGAAAAGCATCTCCAACAAACTACAGATATACATCAACAGGTGCCCACGCTCGATACTGAGGAACAGATGACCAGAAAGAATAAGTAACAAGGAACTCTGGGAACAAACCAACCAAGAACACGCCGCCTAACAAATATGGAGTAAAAGAAAGTGGAGATAGATTGGATCGGACATACACTGGTTAGACCATTCGGGGATATCACGCGCCAGGCCAGGAAGGCGAGTGGAGTCCAGAGGGGAAACGACGAGTTAGGCGTGTGAGGTTGACATGGAGGAGACAGTGTGAGGAAGAAATGAAAGCATGTGGTTAGCCGTGGATCCAGGTTAGGGAGACTCCATAGAAAGGAGTAAAATGGCGACGTGCTACCGAAGCCCTTTGTTCCACCAGGAACCCAAGGGAGAAATAATAATAAAAATAAATAAAGAACTTGAATCCGAATATGTCTTCAGGAATTGACGGGATTCACCCAAGAGTGCTCCAAGCGTATGCCGACGTTCTGAGTGTTCAACTAGCGGAACTTATCAGACACTCGTTTCCGGAAAGCAGGTCACCTCCTAATTGGAAATAGGTGGCTGTCATCCCAGTACATAAGGGTGGGAACAAACTGCTTGCTTTTTATTTTGAACCCATCTTAAATGACCGCGAAGACGACATTTTTGCGTGGAAGCTGACGTAACGCCAACTTCCTAATAGCTTGGAACAGCTGGGCCCTCTCTGTTAGGTATAAAAAGCGCATCCACACCAATCTACTTGACTTTTCTGAGGCCATTGATAGGTTGACTCATAATACCATGTGTAAGAAACTTCAGCTTATAAGCGCACATGGAAAACTATCATTTTGATCTATAGATTATCTTTACACCAGGGTGCAGTCAGCTGGCTGCTTTTTATCCGATTGGTTCCCGATGCTGAGCGGTGCACCTCAGGGGTTCTTTCCGGGTCAACCACTATTTCTTACTTTTGTCAATGGCCCTCAATTCTAACTCACTATTATAAATCGATGATCAGAAGATTTGGAGGGAAATGCAGAAGCCAATGGATATTTTCCTTTCCGAAGTCCTGGATTGGACTACTGGGAACCTACTTCCTCTCACCCTGGAGGAGTGCAGAAAAGAGATAGTTGGCAAATATAAAAACAGTTCCGGTTCTTACACCATGTAAGAAATAAATATCTGACACTCAAACATGGAATAAGATCTGTAGGGTACTTAAGGTGAGTTTCGGTCCACTGTCACCTTGCAGCCAACTGGGCCGGTGGAGCTCCGGGATTTCCTTCGCTAACTTTAAGAGGTTCATCTCCTGCTGCTTTAGCTATATTGCATGGACTCTGCATTCACCCCCATAAGGAGAAAAATTCGCCTGTGATGTTCACATACTTTGGGAAGGATAAAGCCATCCTAAAACCGGTTCAGAGAAGAGCTACAAAGAAAGTGGTTGGGTTACGTAGACACTTGACCTGGATCGCTTGGGTGCTCTTACGCCGCATCCAACACAATAGCGGGGAATCTGAAGAGATATGGTCACGATGTACTACACTGCTCATAGTCCCCTTCATCTCAACAGATTCTTCTTAAGCTGTCATCAGAAACACCACCTTAGAGGCAGGGCACGAAAGAGCACGTACAAAGGCCCATGGTTACTTATTTGTGGTTAGAGTTTTTAAACTATGGAGCTCCCTTCCTTCAGCGACTGTTACCGTCCCATCTCGTGATACTTTCAAAAGGAAATTAGATGCAAATTTGGAGTCTCGTGGTGCTGAAGAGCTGTACTCGAGAGGCCTCCCGTCATCCATAGATCAGGAGTAGCAGTGCTACCTTAAGATAAGATTAGTGAATAATCGATTATCTCTGTTCTTTCAGGTTTCTCGGAATCGTGAAGACAACTGTGACCTCTCCAAACCAAGAAAGTACTCCAATAAAACGGACATAGAACTCAAGGAAGCAACATTCGGTAATTCTACAACACGAATCTTGAAGCACAAAGCTTGGTCTTATCAGTGACTCCGTTTCCACCTAAACAAAATCAACAACATTATGCAAGAAAAAGTAGTCAATCACTACCTACAAATCTATGAGCAGGCAAAATGTAAAAAACCCCTGCGAACACCAAAAAAGATATGAAAGAACAAAAAGCCGAGCCTCAGGACCTAGAAGTGAGTGCTTATAAACTCCAAGTTTCGTCTGCTCACATCATTAATGTTGGAAATTGATCTCTGAATACGCGCGTCTTCCGACCTGGTCTCCATTTATAATCCTTTGCCCAAGTCGTTTAGGCATGACTCTCAACGATACTGAAGTTCAGCGTCAGGTTAGTACTACCAGTATTTCTTACTGCTCTCATTGTTAAGATCCGCCACATGATGGCTTTCATAGACCAGGAGGCTAGAGAAAAAGTTGAAGAAATAGATGCAAAGGTTTGATTATAATCTTGCTTAGTCTTTGTTTATCAGGCTGAAGAGGAGTTCCAGATAGAAAAATCCAGGTTGGTCCAAAACCAGCGCCTAAAGATAATGGAATATTATTCGAAGAAGGAGAAACAAATTGAATTGACCAAGAAGATGTATGTTAACAGCTTTACATATGAACTTTCCATGTAGTCAGGACTCTAACATGAAAAATCAGTCCAGACTTCAGGTTCTACAAAGTAGAGAAAATCACATTGAGGTATATCTGTCATTCACATAACTCTTGTAGATGCTACTCAAAGAAGCCCGCGACCGTTTGCGCACGGTTGCCGCGGACCGAAATACTTATCAAAATTGCCTCTCGGGACTCATTACCGAGGTAAATCTTTATGTGGTTTGATTTGAACTAGTTTTGTAGGCATAAGAATGTCGTGATTACTGTAGTTCTGATCTAAAAGTTCCACACCTACCTTATTAGCATTTATGCAGAGCTTGACGTGAAAGCCAGCAGGTTGTAACACCTTTTATTCTCCCGGAATTCATAGGCCGTTCGCTTTAAGGACATTGTCAGTAAGCCTGTACTGGGAGTATATTTATACTCTCTCACAGCAAACCTTATTAGCTTGTCTGTAGGAAACCTAAACCAGTTCCAATCATAAAATTTGTGCGTTATGTTTATCTCAAGATCTGGTAAGCAATTACGAGTTCACTTTTCTCATAAGTTTCTCTAGATAAACAAAAAATGGTGATGGGATATTAAGTTCACAGGTTACACTGGTTAGAACGTCATATCCTGTCAGTGAAGAAGTCTTAAATGCGGACAGACGTTGAGCTATCGTTGATTCTATTTTCATCACTTGTAGAAATAAGACCAACTGTTTGTTTCTTGATTTTCGTTGTCTCTCTGGGTATCGTTCACTGAAAACGCCAAACTCCTGTTACTGATTTTAATCAGCATGACAAGTATATCCAGGCACAAAACCAACGCAGAACTTCACACAGAAGTGCGTTGTTTCGAAATGCCACACTTCACAGTCACATGCAAAATAACAAGTGGGTAGAAAAAGACATAGTAGACAAAGCTGTGTGAAAAAGAAAATAATTTGAAGACAAAGGTTAGTGAAAATACTCAGGCTTAAGAAGACGTCAAACAGGGATTATGTCTGCGCCACTGAAACCGACTTTCAGTCATGTCATCAAGAATCCTCAGCCACTAGTTCCTATGATCTCGGGAACCCTAATTAGGTAATGTACACCTCCCTACACACCTAAGACCAACAGACTTCATGGAATGGTGCCACGTCTTGGTCTGACCACTTTGAATCCTCTTCTAACTTAATCCAACTTCCAGCGTTGAACGTTGATGCTGACAAGTATCTCCAGCTAATTAAAAAACTCTTTTGTTTCTTAGTCCTTTCAAGCGCCAAACAAGCTGCAGGTAGACCCTCTTTTCAGCCCTAGTTCTGAAAATAAGCCCATGCAAAGCGGCATAGGTAGTAGGTAGGGCGGGATAATCATATGAAAAGCAATTCCATGTGGTTCCATCTCATTTATCATCAGAATTCAACATAGACATATCTGTAACAGGCGGTATCCAATCATTTACTGGGGTCTCACCAAAGACGGCCAAACAGCATGATTGGTCACGTCAGGGTTATGTAACAAATGCGAAGTCTTATACTTTGACTGATAATACGGAAAGTAATAAAGAAAGTTTTGGTTCATATACTTGGTAATATATGCTGTTATGGCGTTGAGCATACTCAAAATATGGCTGCCTCGACTTTACAAACTGAAAGAAAAGCATATAAAAACTCGTTATCATCTTTATGAAAGGGATGACGGAAACTTCATGCGTCACTTTCTTCCGGCAAACCATATGTCCGTCGTGAACTCTTACGTACCACCTACCAAATCTTAGTAGAATGAGAATCCTAATTGTTAAACGCCCCCTTTGTTGTCTTAGATCCTATCTGTTGGACAGTGTTGAACTTTGTACCCGCCTCAGTGTCGTGTCTTTTGTGTTGATGGTTTACAATTCTGTATTCACAGCAGTTTTCAAATATTGTAAGACCATTTGGTTTGAAATTTTGTGATCAACTAGAAAACTTGTAAAACGGCAGTAACTCATATGCTTGTTACGTGGTTACTCGCAGTCACAACCTACTGTGATTTGCTTCCAATAGAGTAGTGTTGTTTAAGACGTGACACCAAAGTCTTTTACTGTTGGTCTGAGCAGTGTCGGAAAATATAGATTACCTGGTTGGGGTCCCCAAGATGAAAAGAACCAGTGGTTCAGAACTCTTGGTGACACAGTTGAAAATAGGTCACAGTAGCGCAGATGTATTCACTTTGGTATCTCAAGTTTGAATATTTGCATCAATCGCTATCTTCGAATTGCTAATTCTCTCACATAACTTTTTCTAGTTTGATATCACTTTCTGTCTACTCGTTCTTTGTATACTACTGTGAAGTGTGGCAACTTGAGCCGATGCACCTGTGTGCGAGGTTCTACGTTGATTTTACCAGTCACCCATTAATCTCATCGATTTTTAAACATTGATTACTAGTTATTCATTCTCCCACAACATTAGTTCGAAGAACACTTGCTACGGAAGTCAGTGTCAGATTATACGTTGGTTTACGAAATCGACGTGGAACTTTTCACGTAGGTGCATCGGTTCAAGCTGCCACACTTCACAACAGCATGTAAATAACAAGTGGAAAGAAAAAAGGTGATATCATAGTAGGTAAAAGTGTTTGGGGAGTGAAAGAATTTGAAAATGAAGATCAGTAAAACTCCAAGGCTTCAATGATGTCAGAGTGACTACCTGTGCTTCACTGTTACTGATTTCCAAACGCCATATGAGCTAACTAATCAGTGCTTTTCATGTGAATGTGATGTATCGTAATTTAAAGTCTCTCCATTCACATATTATCTCCAGGGTCTTTATCAGTTACTGGAACCAGAAGTCATTGTCAGATGTCGTCAGTCTGATCTGGATTTAACTCAGGTTTGTTTCACCTTTGAAATTGTTTCTTTTTGCATTTATTTTCTGATTGAGCCTGTATTTCTCGTTTGTGACATTCAGTTTTTATTTACCAGGTCCCATTCTTGATTTTTCTTGTTTGGGCAGACTTTATTGTGATAGTTTTCAACCAGCCAGTTCGGGCTGATCCAACTTCAACCAAGTGAAGTGATCGATTCACTCAATAAATTTACTCTCTGTCCCTGTGACTAGTTGCAGACCATTCCGGAAGCATGATCTTACATTTGGCAGGTGCAAAAGGCATACCAGCCGAACACATTCAGATTTGCGCTCGAGGTGTTCACAAGACCCTGTATTTTTTCAGCATCACCTGGTTGGACAATATCATCTGCTTGCCCAAAATGAACCAGATGCCCTCCAGGGAACAGATATCTGACTATGTCCATTAGTACATCTATGATGAAATTAAAGGGAGGCGGTTACACCTGGGATCCCTAGTGGACACCACTAATTGTCGTCAGTCCATATGAGTAGAGAGTTTTGATTAGCGTTACATACTTGCTCGATACTCCTTTCACAGTCAGACACTGCAGGCACACGACGGTCGACAAAGTCGAATTCCGTCTTCAAGTCAAGAAATATGGCAAGTGTTGACCATTGGCTGGTATGTCTGCGTAACAAGCATATGATATATATATATATATATATATATATATATATATATATATATATATATATATATATATATATGATCGGAGTCCATACAAGTTCTACAGAAAGAGCAGCTATTCTCCAACGATGGCTTACGGCAATGTAATCTATGTGTCTATAGTCGGTGTGATGTTGGTGAATGTAATGTGAGACTCTCTCCTCATGCTTGAAGTTGGCAGCTACCAGGAAAAGGGATGGTCAGGACAAGATTGTAACAGACTATCACCACCGTTATCGATATTTTGGCCCTGTATTTCGTAGATACCGCTAAGATGCCTTTCCGATAAACTCATCTCTCCTACTTGAGCGTTAAAGTCGCCTGCCATTCACTACTGTGGCCAGGTGAGTTCAACTTAATAAATGCACTCAGATCCTGTGTACGTGTCCCAGAGACGCAGAACACATCCATGGCTAGATATTCCAGAGTTTCGATGAGCGATACTTCCTGTTTGATCTGGCATAAAGTTCGGACGTTGAAAGCTCCTACATGAAATTGATGGTGGGATCTTAGGAGACTAAGAATGAGATTTCGATAGATTTGATCTTTGGCAATGGTCGCAAAGTGAGTTTGAAGAAAGGTGAAAGAGGTTTAATATTGGTATCAGGAGGTAAAGGCAAAAAGGGAGACAGAGTTAAGGAGGATAGGTTATGTTTGGTTGAATCTTGCGTACTACTGGAAGCGTGCGGGTGTTTGACACTTCCTGGCTGCCCTGCAACGGAGAAAGATTTGTGTAACAGCAGAGCCTATAAAATATTTAATTGAGGCGTCACACAGCCTTTTAAAGATTGTTGGTGTGATTTGATTGCTCTAACACTGGATACAAAAAACGCATACCGCTGTCATCAGAAGACTGAAGCAGGGAGGAGTGTGCTATTTTCCCGGTCAACCCTCCTCTGCTTTCTATTCCCACAGAAAACGTAGCATCAGCATGGTGCTGCTGGTCATCCGTGAGAGGCATCTTACTGCTGTCATACCCCATCCAGCTAACAGTACGACTTTGCCCTGTATTATGGAATAGCAATTTACATCATAGGGGTAATGAAGATTGTTACTTACGTCATGTAGTTTTCTTAAAACCCTGGCTTCGATAGTTCCAACTTGTGTTCAGAATATCTCAGAGGCTGTCACCACTCATGTTTCTCTTACCCTGGGACTGTCTAGAAGAAGCGGGCTTGATGTTTCTTGGAATGAAGGATAGTTGTTATGGCTCAGCATCTTTATTTGCCTCACAAGCCCCTGGATGGAGTCTGAGACTTAGCAACGGACTGACTTAAGACCACAGCACTCATATCTCAGAACCAGTGGCGGCAATCGTGTAGCTTTCCGTTTCTATCACTGATAAATGCAGCCAAAATAACGAATGCCTTTTTTGAGTGTCTGCTTGAGTCAACTCCCCTAGTAACCCATTCCTAGTTCGCTTGTTTTCCCCCCTCTCTATACTACTTGTATGTCTTCTTAATGTTATGATATTTGTGTGACTCATCTCTTGGTGCTCATATTGTAGTGTTTGGTTTTAAAATAAGTAACAATTCAGTTATAATTTCCTGCATTTGGATAGCTGTTAACTAAAAGTGTGACTCAGTTAGTTTCTAAACTAACAGTACTAAACGCTTACTATCTTGGTTTGTTCGTTATCAGCATTACCTTAGACAAAAATCAATTGGATGCGTAAATCTTTTGTTTCACTCCCTACCCACTCATTCAAGCATAATAATAGGTAGTTGGCTAGCAGCTACAACAATTTAACCACTGTCTTTACAGTAGCTGTTTATATTTTGTTGGCCATTTTGCGATAGGCATCTAAGAGTGCATGTCAACCCTTTTAAAGTCAGACGACGAGATTCAGACTTTGAGCACATGTATTACAATATTATATAAGAATGAAGAGTGTGGACTTCATTAACGGATACAGCTCGATGTACACAACTCACCTGATGGCTCACAATGGGCTCTTACACGCCCACGCGTAATCTAACACAGAACCTTCAAAAGAGTAATATACTTACCTGGTATCCGTTCCAGTGACAGGCGCTGCTATAAGACCTCTCGGTCGACGGATTCGAATGCTACCTTCAGATTGAGAAGTGCAACTGATGCCAGTGTTCCAAAACCTGTTGGTACTTGAGCGCCTGATCAATGTACTCATTGCAGGGTCTGAAACCTGCCTGATTATTTTGGGCGTACTGCTTTCGAACTTCACGTAGGCGTTTGGTAACATAGAACCTAGAGTCTTGGATAGTAGGTTCGTCAGCCTGATTCCTCTGTAGTTATCACAGGAGGATTTCTCTCCTCTCATGAAGAGTGGGACAGTCAGTGATTCAAACTGGTCAGAGGGAATTACATCTGATTCCCATATGCTAGCTAACAGTTCAATTATCCTGATGACTAATCCCTGACCACCAACCTTTATGACCCTACCACCGTTCTATATGAAGGACAGCATCAGCATAGTACTGCTGTCACTCTGTCTAGCCAACAGTACCACTTCGCCCTAGATTCCACATTACAGCGCAGCAATTTGGACTATAACGTGACCTGCTTTTTGTCTCACCACTATACAGGTGATCTTCATGGCATAGTAGGGTCTCAAGGAAACAAATGTTCGCATTAACATAGCTATACCACCACTTCAGGGTAGTGGCTATCAGTCAGGCTTATTGTGATAGTAGGAAGGATAATAAACCGTTTTTATTGAGGAACTTGTGCTTTTTTGAAATTTATGAACGTTCACTTGCGTGTGGATCTAAATGTCACTTGATTGAGTTCTTTAGACGGCTTCTTCTGCTTTCATCTAGGTTCTTTCAGTATTTGTCTTATTGTTACTTTATTATTTGGTGTAACCCATCTCTTGGTACCCTGTTGTACCAAGTTAGTGTTGTAAATAATAACAATATTATCGTTCATTTAGTAAATTGTCTGCTGTTCGTCACTATGCACAAACTTCACCATGGTTGTTTTCATAAATGGCATTTGTGACTGTTAGTTGTTGTTTTACTAATTTAGGTCTTTTCTTTGTATTCGTAGAGTCTTCTGCCAGGATGTGTTGCTGCCTATCGAAAGCAAACAGGTATTGACTGCAAAGTCACAATTGACAAAAACTTCTTACCTGATAGTCTGTAAGTCACTGTCAATTGGCTGCACATTCGCAGTATATTTTTCGTCTATAGTTGGGTGGATTACTATTACTACTATTACTGTCCACTTATGAAGTTTACTTATTTGCTCATCACAGACACGTTTGGAACAGGGGAATTAAATGAGCTAATTGTTAAGGTTCTTACTGTAAAACATTTTCTACTATCATCCAAGCAGTGAATTCAATTGATAATCCCACTCACGTTAAAATATTTGATGGTGGTGCGCTATATGCTCACTGGAATCAGTTATTGAGGTCAGTGTGCATCTCAACCGGGATCCAGGTGTCTGGACTAGGTTTCAATTAGCAGTTGGTATATGACGGTTTATATAAGCATTACCCAGTTTCCCAGCCCAAAATAAATGGATCGGGATTTTAACACTGGATTTAGTGCTTTAAAGTCAAATTCTTAAGCCAATATACCACATCCTCACGTGACAGTATTATTGGTGTGTTGGTGGCTACAGTAATTTCGCTAATAAAGAAAACAATAAGATGCAGAATTGTTGTTGTTGTGCAGAACCCGACCGATAGCTGCTACCTTGACGTGGTGGTCGGGCTTGCATATCACAATGACCCAACGAGCTATGCTGGTGGAACGCTTGTTCCCTCGAGGTCCTACCATACCAGAAAGGTCTGTTGGGTAGTGGTTAGACGAAAAGCAGTTACCGTCATAGTGTAAATTGCTACACTATGATGGGGGTCTGAGGGCGAAGTCGTACTGCTGCTAGCTGGATGGGGTGTGACAGCAGTAAGGTGTTTCCCTTGGATGACCAGCAGTGCCATGCTGATGCTGCCTTCTCAGTGGAAGGGGGGGTTAGAAAAGGTCGGCCCCAAAAATAACACACTCCACCACGCCCCACGGTCTGCCGGGCCGGCGGTGTTGGTTCACTTGTCGTTTCCTTTCGATCATCCGGCCCCAAAAATACAAAAATTCAAAATAATCATACTCAAAAGGCTGGGTGTGACAGGCCTCAAGCAGATGTCCGATGGGCTCTGCGGTCACACAAATCTCTTTCAGGTACCTTAAGAAGAAATAGCCTTCCACGGTGTGGGCAGCCGGGAAGTGTCAACCGCCCTCACAACTCTGTCAGCACCCAAGTTTCTTCTGACTGCTATCCTCCTCCTCCATCATTACCTTCTAATCTTCCTTCACGTCTCTTAATGATGCTGCATCATCTTCAATTTCTCCTACCTCTGCAGCCTTCGACAACGATCTGAGTCCACAGAACAGCATCCCTGGTCTCCTTAAACCACGCTCCAAATTACATATTGGAGCCTTCAATGTCCGCACCCTCCGTCAAATTGGCCAACAGGCTTCGTTGGCAAAGACTCTAGCAACTCGGGCATGGATGTGTGCTGTGTTTGTGAGACACGCATACAGGACCCAAGTGTGGTTATTCACCTGACCTCTCCTGACCAATCTGGTGAATCCACAAAATTCACCCTTCGAGTTTCTGGAGATTCGATAGCTAGCTCTCGTGGTCTTGCAGGTGTAGGTATAGCATTAAGCACCAGGGCAGAAAACTCACTACTAGACTGGATCCCAGTTGATAGTCGCCTCTGCGCTATGAGGCTGAACGGCACAGTGAGAACTAAAAGGAATAGTGAGACTCGCCGTTGTCTCTTTGTAATCTCTGCTTACGCACCCACTGACTGTAGTTCGGATGAAGTGAAGGACGAGTTCTACCATAAACTGTCTAACCTCCTCTCGAAAGCCAAACGTTCGGACGTAGTGGTTGTTGCAGGTGACCTCAACGCACAGGTGGGTAGACTGAGTGAGGCAGAAAGGCACTTAGGTGGCACTTTCGGAATCCCAGCTGAACGTACAGATAACGGTGATCGCCTATTACAACTATGCTCAGATAACCGCCTATTTTTAGCCAGCACAAATTTCAGACATAAAGAAAGGCACTGTCTGACCTGGCGTCCACCGAGCTCGACTCAGCGATGGACACAGATAGACCACATTGCTATTAGTCATCGCTGGAGAGGATCGGTGGAAGACTGCCGCTCCTTCTGGAGTACGTGTTTGGACAGCGATCATGCGTTGGTCCGAGCACGTATATGCCTGCGTCTCAATGGACGTAGAAAAAATTTGGCAACAAAACCACTACGAGTTCTGCTGGACAACGAAAACACCAAAGCCGTGTTCAGTGAGAAGTTGGCTAGGCAGTTATCGGAACAAAAGACTGTCACTCATCCAGAAGAAGCTTGGTGCCATCTTCAGTCTACTGTAAAAGCAGCACTGGAGACTGTAGCCGACTCCAAGATAATGGCTAAAAAGAGCCAGTGGATATCAGCAGCTTCTTCCAAACTAATGGATGCACGTGAATGCATCCCTGCAGGCTCTGAGTACAATGAAGAGCGAGCGCAACTTAAAAATAACTGACGAAAAGTCTGCGCAACGATCGTGAACAGTGGTGGGCAGCAAAGGCTAAAGAGATGGAAAAGGCAGCGGCGATCGGTAACAGTAGACAGTTATTTAGACTTATTAAGGAGACTGGGGGGAAATGGTCAACAACAGTTAGTGAGGTTATAGCGGAGAAGGACGGATCGGCGATTCACTCGCAGGGAAGGCGACTGGGACGATGGGCAGAACACTTTGAGGAACAGTTTAACTGGCCTCCAGCCACCATTGCGCTGCCCGCTATCCAGTCGGACCCTGAATGGGACATAGAGACAGGTCCCCCAACACTAGAAGAAGTTGAGAAAGCGGTAGGTAGCCTGAAACGGGGAAGGGCAGCAGGACCAGACGGACTACCTGCTGAGGTATACAAGAATGGTGGTAGAGTTCTCTTAGTCAGGCTAACGGAAGTGTTAGCCAGTATATGGGAATCAAATACGATCCCCTCCGACTGGTCTAAGTCACTGATCATCCCAGTCTTCAAGAAAGGCGAGAAGTCCTCTTGTGATAACCACAGAGGAATCAGCCTGACAAACATAGTGTCTAAGATCCTAAGTTCTATAATTCTCCGACGCCTGAGTGGAGCTCGGGAACAGCAAGCCCGAGAAAACCAGGCAGGCTTTAGACCTGGCCGTGGATGTATCGACCAAATATTCACACTGCGCCAGGTCCTGGAACATAGGCATGCTTACAGACGCCCGACAATAGCTGTATTTCTCGACCTGAAGGCGGCATTTGACTCCGTTGATCGAGAAGTCTTATGGCAGTGTCTGTCACTGAAAGGCGTGCCTAGTAAGTACATCACCTTATTGAAAGCTCTCTACTCGAACACTTGTGGGCATGTTAGAGCCTATGGTGAGTTGTCCAGGGAGCTATACTCATCAAGTGGTGTCCGTCAAGGATGCCCACTATCCCCATTCTTATTTAATTTTATCATAGATATTCTTATGGAGGTTTCCCTCTCGTCACCTAATTACAAAGACGTTGACCGGATCACAGGTGAATTTTCCTTAGATCTAGAATATGCAGATGACATAGTCCTGTTAGGTGAAGACGCTGACAAGATGCAGAGTCTTCTGAACACTTTGAGTGGGAATTTGAGAATGTTTGGGATGCGATTTTCACCACCCAAATGCAAATTTTTGCTCCAGGACTGGTCTTCAGCGGTACCGCGGTTAACAATAGAGAGTGAAGTGGTTGAGTGTGTTGACCACTTCACTTACCTGGGAAGTAGGATCAACCCGGTGGGTTAGTTGCCGATGAGATTTCTGCACGGATACAAAAGGCTCGATTGGCTTTTGCCAATTTGCGCCACCTATGGCGCCGCCGTGATATTCGTTTGTCTATTAAGGGTCGCGTGTACTGCACAGCAGTCCGCTCTGTTCTACTGTATGGCTGTGAAACATGGCCATTGAAAGTGGAAGACATGAGAAGGTTACAGGTATTTGACCACCGTTGCCTTCGTAGTATAGGACGTATTCCGTGGTGTCACCATGTGAGTAATGCAGAAGTTAGGTGTAGAGTTTTAGGGAGAAGAGGTAAGTCAGTCGACGAGGTTGTGAACCTTCATCGACTGAGATGGTTGGGACACGTACTACGTATGCCTAGTCACCGATTGCCTCGTCACACAATGTTGGCTGAGGTGGGTTCAGGCTGGAAAAAGGCCCGAGGTGGCCAGACTAAAACATGGCACCAATGTATGAAGTCTCTGACTGTTGGTTTAAGCCATGTAGGACGATGCAGACTAGGTGGTTGGGGTCCACGGGACAAGAGGAACCAGTGGTTGGAGACCCTAGGTGATATGGCTCAGAACCGAAGTCAGTGGCGCAGATGTATACACACATTATCCTCATCTTAACAACGCTATACCGAATCTCACTATTTTGTCACTCCTCTTTCCTTTCTTCTCGTACTTTATATTTCTTTTGACTGCATTCACTTATCTTCATCCTTCACCTCACTACCTTTTTACTTGATGTGCTGATATGAGGTGTGGCAACTCGGACCGTTACGCAGTAATGCCTGGTCCTATGTTGATAATGATGAATAAGATGCAGAACATACAGTTCCTGAGAGGGAAGGGAAAAAACAAAAGAGCAAGGAATACATAGCAATTATACAACTCCAGTCTATTGTATACCACTGTTGTTTTCATTCTTACTATTTGTTTGAAAATTTTTTGAATGTATCGACCTGTATCACACATCGTGACTGGCCGTCAGCCTATTCGCAGCTTGAAATATCGTATCAATAGTTAATTGCCTTAAGATAAGTTTAAACCACTCGGGTTCCTGCAAATAATATTCGCCAGTCATTTTACCTGGCAGTTCAGTGAAATGAAATGTCATGGCTGTGGTTTTTTAATGCATAAAGTCATTGACGTGTCATTACTCGAAGTGATGTTTTGCTTTACTAGGTCTCAATGATTCAAAAATATTCCGTAGTGGCTAAGCATCAGGTAGAATTAAGCGATGAACTTCTTGGTAATGTTTGCGAACCCATCACCGCCTACTTCTGCCTAGAGAAGTGTACAGAATCGAAAGTCCGCACAAAACAAATGTGGTTCTAGCCTAATATGTAAATTCCTGTACCGAGTTGAGCTGCATTATAAACCAGGGTCATGAATGATGGCTGAATCCTTCATATAGTAGGCTATACTCATGGTGTTTTTTTGAATTGATTTTGTTTGGACAAACAAGATCAAATGTACACATGAAATATGCACTTAAGTCTTTTTATTCATGTCGCTTCATCATCTAATATGATTTACTACCGAACATATTTGCTATCAGGATTTTCTCTATGTATCATGATGTTTTTAGAGCTGGTGGGGTTGAACTATATAATAAAGATGGGCGTATCAAAGTAGTGAACACACTGGAGAGTCGTTTAGATCAAATCAGTGAACGCCTAATGCCACAATTACGAGAGATTCTATTCGGAGTGAATGAAGGAAGAAAGTTCCACAATTAATTCAGTGATTATTGTATCTGTCTGTCTGTGTTACCAGTCTATTTGTTGACAGGCACACAACCAAGCATAATATTTCCATAAATTCCTCTCTTGATGTATGTGTTTAAACAATTGATTTATTCCTATCACTTTTATTATCTTCACTTGTAATAATGATATAAACCTGATTTAAAACTATTATCAATTTTAGAGCATACCACGTAATTATCTTGAGTTTCTCTTTTTCGAATCTGCATTAAGCTAATATTTTTGAATGATTATTGTGAAAGTAAAGAGGGGTTCTCGTAATAAGTTTTCCTTCCATATATAACAACTGCTGCAAATTGCTCATTACTACTGCTTTTATTACGGTGTAGTATTGTGATGCACAGGCTAACCGTCAGTAGTTATATCATTCCAAGTTGCAGTCATGTCTGAAATATGAAGTTAATTTGTCCTGGTCCTATGTTGATCTTGTCTGTTTTCAAACTTTAAAAGGAAGTCAGTTAAGACAGAGTTCTTACTATAAGTAATAACTACTCAGTAAATGTATATGACCAGAAAAACTTGTACGTGTTTGTGTACAAGCGTATCAGCTAAACGCAATTGGTTGGTGCTACAAGGTCATCTAAGTGCAGCGGTATTTAGTGATGCAACAGTTAGCATAGAATCGTTTAGACTAATGGGTTGCAGCTCAGAAAAGACAATTATCTAGGCTGGCTGCTCAATTAATAATAACGATCGGAAATACAGCAAAGCTCCTAGTGGTGAATACGGAAAGAAGTAGCGAGACGTATAAGGTACATGAAGCGATGAAATAGCCAAGAATGGTCTGCCATCTTAGTGAGTGAACATGAACAATGTAAGGTGGCTACAGATCTTTGACCGTGTAGTACCGCTCACGTATGGCAGAGATGGTAATGTTAAGATAAACCTAGAGCACTCGGTCGGTAGCGAGGTTGAGTTAATCAATGAGATCATGGATCTTTAATGCGTGAGGTAGTTTGACATGCATTTCACATGATCCACTACCTATCTTGATATAGATTATTAGCTAAAGATTACCGTAAAAAAAACCTACGGTTGCCCAAATAGTATATGGCATCAATGCATGAAGACTGGCTGTTTTTTGAGCCACGCGGACTGCTTGGTCAAGATCTTTGGGGTGTTAGGAATCACTGGCTAAGCAGTCTTCGTCATGTGGTTCGTAAGTTGGTACTGGTAAGTTGTCGGTATTAACAATATCGTTGTGCTGCATACATATCAAGAAGCAAGTCGCAGTAAACAGACGTGACTGGGAGAAAACGTCACGTATGTATTTAGGAATGGTGTAGCTAAACATTTAAATATGGTGTCGACTCTGCTGAAGCCTAGTGCGACCTTCGGTTTGCTGTTGGAATATCAATAAAGACAGTGGGAACCTTATGCTTAAAGGCTGGCAAAAGCCAGTGGATTTTTCTAACCTCATCCGAACTGATCGGTGTGAGAAAACTCATTCCAGCTAGCTCTGACCATGATGCGGAACGAAAGCTGCTCAAACGTGTATTGACTAAGTCTTTGCGGTGACTACAAGTAATGGTGAGTGAGAAGAGCCAAAGACGTGGAGTGGGCACCAGCGCTAGGAGCCACGCGGCAGTTATTATGCTGGTCAGGAGATATGGCATGAAGATGTCTGGTCAGTAAGGGTGTCACCGAAAAGTACTGGTCCCTTATAACCCCAAGATGAGAAATAATTTAAGTGGGACTCTCTGAAACCCAGTTAAACTGATCCATAGTAACGCTTCAGTTGTCCCGCATCCAGTCCCAACGTGAGAAGGAAGTAGATATAAGTACTAAAAGTTAAGAAAGCTCTTTCAAACGTGCAACGATGCAAAGCAGCAAGGTCTGACGGTTTTCCACTGGAAATTTTTAAGGACAGAGGTAAAGAAGTAGTGAGTAAAGTAATAGGGAATGCTTGCTAGCGTATCAGAACCAGTGGTAGTCCCATCCGAATGGTCTAGATCCCTGATCATCCTAGCTTGTAAGTCTTCTGACAACTACAGAAGAACGACTTTAACTAGTATGGTATCCATTGTTATCCGATGGATAACTGGGCATGGTTCAAACATGGTCAGGGTCATGTTGATCAAATGTCCCTTCAACGAATTCTTGAGAGAGGGCAGACACTGGTGGCCGAAACTTCATATTTCTTGATCTGAGGGCGACATTTGACTCAGTCGGTCGAGACGTCCTCTAACAGTACCTGAGTGGACGCGGTATTCTTGAAATACGGAGCGGGTAATCAGGAATACCTGCTCAGACTCACACAACCGCATAAGTGCTTATCGTCATTTGTCGTCTGAATGAGTGACAACCAGTCAGTTAGTATCAACAATCGACAGCCATTGTTGCACAACGGTCTAAGCTGCCAAACCTCATAATAGCACAACAAGTAACAGAGCAGTAAGATAAAGAAAGAAAAATCGGTCAAAAATAGTAAAAGGAAGAATGTGCAAATGTTGAAATCAGAACAGTGGTTAAGATGGAGGTAATATATGCGCCACATCCCCTGGTCTCCAACCTCTGGTTTCCGTTATCACATAGACCCCAACCGGCTAGTCTGCATCTACCAACAAAGACTTAATGCAATTTTGCCATACTTTAGTCCAGTCGCAGCGAGTTGCTAGAGTTGTGACGATAACTAGTGATTTCCCAACGATGCAAATTGTCATCATTCTTGTTTAACTTTCCCATGGGTAAAACTAGTGAGCCTTATCCTAAGTACTTCCTATATCTGAGGGATCGACTTACTCCCTAGGTGGGGGGGGGGTACCTGATCGCCTAAATACGAATTTTGACGTTCGTGTTGGAACAGAAACAGTTCTCAGGAGCACAATCATATGCATTAGGTTCAGTTTTCTCGAATAACTAACATGCATCTAATACTACCGGGACGGCTAAACTTAGTCATACCTGTCATCACAATGTAATCTCAACCAGATTTTACACAGTGAGGAAGGAATTTTGATCAACAACCTATTGCCTTGACAAACTACATATCAAACCTATTCTTTTACAGATCTCAACTCTGTAATATCTACTGATTTAAATTTGATCCTCAGGCCTATTTTGGAAACACGTAATTTAATAACCTGAATTTCGTTTTAATCTTCTGCATTGTAAAATCTAAGGTAAAAAGTTTTCCAGAAGTGTCATCTCTGTTTCATAATTATCATTTTCCAAGTATACAACTCATATTAATATGTCTGTTTATTTAACAAAAATCTTTTGTTTATTTAAAACAAACACATATAAAAAACTTTAAAATGTGTAATTATCTTCTAAAACAGTAAAAATTGTACTATTGACTTCAAATGTAATAATACTGTATTAATATATGCCTATCAATAAAGATATATCAAAAAAATGGAGGTTTTTTTTCTTACAAAAAATGTTCACCATGTATTTTATGTACTCGTTGTGTCAATTGTGTAACAATAATAATAAAATCAATTTGTTACGCAGTAGTAGTAGTAATAAAAGCAATTGATTGGTGTGTGTATATAGGTGGGAAATACTGTCAGACCTGAAATGAAAAGTAAAAGGGAAAAATCATGTTTGTCATAAATAGAAATACAGTAACCAATCACTGTTTGGCATCAGTCATATTTCACCTATAATAAAAGTTACATTTATGGTAAAGTGAATGATCTGTCATGTTGTGCTCATAACTGGAAGTACTAGAAACTATTGATTAGAAATCGAGCATAATCCTGAAGGTATATTGACTAATTTATCCTTTATATCATCCTATCTCAACTGTTGTTTTACTTTCAGTTGTTCTTCCTATACTTCCGTGAAAAAACGCTATAAACTATTGTGAGACATTGTACGTAAATTGATTGGTCAGTAGTCAATAGAAACGAACCAACTTCTGGGTTCGAAGTGCTGATTGAATTGTATTGATCATTTTGTGATATAGTCGCTAGGCTAAGTAGGAGACACCACCGTTTCACAGTTCACTCTGACTGATGTTAGATAGTTTGGAGGCAATTGACAGCAAGTCTTTTACACCTGTCATGGTTTTCGATGAGAAACTGACAGGCAGATATATCAATGTAGACGTGTAGCGATTCCATTTCCTCCAAAATACAACAATATGGTGGTTACCAAAAATGAATTCATCAATTTTTCAGTTACTATCACCTAACATTTTGACGATTGTAAGTAAATAGCCTCTACAACTCAAGCCAACAGTCAGCAAGTTTACGAACTATTGGTGTATTTCGGCTTCTACTTTGTTTGCTGATTGCCATTATTCATTTAAAACAAATATTAGCGTAGAAGAATATGGATAGAAGAAAAGAAATCAGAGGAGTTACTGATTTCAAATTCTTCAGCAACTCAAGTTTACCTTTAAACTCTAACCATCATCCAATTACTTAAAGGCCAATTCACTAGACCAAGAATAACTTAAGTAGTTGACATAGGCAAAACTAACATGGTTATTCGGCATAATAAATCAATTAAAGTTTACTCTACCACAGTGTCGAAGCTTTACTCCTATGTCATTGTTATTTTGTTGATGTTGAGATTTTCTATAACTAAAGATTATGTTTAAAAACCTTTATATATCACCTTAAACTGTAAAACTTGGCTTTTGTTGGTATATACTGACTCTAAAATAAAGGTTCATAAGTACAGACAAATCAGTGCATAAACTTGGCACAGAAGTGCATCATACCTCAATGAGAAACACTTCACAGAAGCATGCAAAGAAGAAGTGAGTAGACAAAGAATAGTATTAAATCCGACAAGGGAGTTTGAGAGGAGAAGAGGACAAATTACTGAAGGACTATTAGAAATATTCAACACTGTCATTGTGATTGATTTACAGCTATATCACCAAGATTCTGCGCAACCGTTAGACATTTCTTCAAAGCATTGATCGCTTGTGATGGGACAATAAAGTAAGTGAATAGTATGGTTAAGGATAGGGTTCTAATTGGGGCAGCTCGGAGAACACAACACAATCAAGATCACCCACCTGCGCTACAAATATGTCTCCACCATTTCAAAATCAGACGAGCATAACACTTCGCGTTCGAAGATGAGGAGGCTTCTTCAAGAAGCAAGCTTCTACAAGAGAACAACTATTCTTTAGCCATAAGAACCTACGTTGCCGTGTTTTGCTGATGAAATAATGAAAATCCACTGGATATGGTGGTTAACATATGTATTATGCACGATAAACCACCACCCCGTATCTTATGGTGTATGATGTTAACTGGAGTAAAATTAGATTAGAAGAAAAAAACTGAAAGTAACAAGAACAAGTTACAATACGATTTTGTGAAGTTCTTTGGTATGGATTGCGTTGAGAATTAGTGGTTTGAAGACCACAAACCGACGTGGCTCAGAATTAATTACACTGACATAGACGTACTCACCTTTTATTTTCTCCACAGTTCTGAGCAGCCTACTTACCTTTATTGTGTGCTTTGTTTCCTCTCATTTATTTCTTGTCTAAGTGGTGTCAAAGTAGACAAAGGTGTATGGGAGGAGAAAGAATCTAAAAATCAAGGTTTGGTTGAGTTCGAGCAGCACTTAGGACTAGACAACATGAAGTCGACCACTCTTCGGTGACCAATCCATGTACCTAAACCAGTCATATAGGAGGTCAATCACGACCCGAATAGCTCAGTGGTAATGTATTTGACTGTAGCAATAGATGAAGGGGAGTCGGATCTGTGGAGGCACATCTGTCCTGAAGTTTGGGGAAATTGAGCTTTTGTGTAGGGTTTTACGCTGGTGTGCTTTTCCATCAAAAGGCCTGTTGCATAGCTGAATGAAGGCAATCGCCTTACTACTTACTTTACGTACACACACATAGATAGCACCTGGTAAGTGAGCGGTGTGTTTGAGAACTTCGACTGGAATTAGGGTTTCAGTTTAAATTTCATCGACAACTTATATATTAGGGTCAACAGTGTGACTACTCAAATAAATCCCACCATTATTCAATGTGCTTACTGTTGTTGAGATAAGCATACCTATATATGGCAGTGTCAGGAAGATTTAGTGCATCTGATGCAGAAAAAAATCTTCAGTATTAAATCAGTAGTTATTAACAAAGTTGTATTTTTATTTGATCAGAAATAAAGTTCCGTATAAGATTTAGCTAATCCTGAGAGGTAGACGGGAAAAACGTTCTCGACGGGGTTTTCTTCATAGAAAGTCATCAGAGGGTGAACTGTTTCGAGATGAACTTCCCCAAGTTCTAAAGCAAAGATGTGAACTGCGGGTTCAACCAATTCTCACTGTATCTTGAATTAACACTGGATTCTCACACAATGGCTGACTGGTGGTGTGAAAGCCACAAGGCTTGATGGTCATGGATTCTACAGCAAATGGTAGGTCGTGTGTATGTAGTGCTAAACCGTCTCTGACCAGAACGAAACAGTCATTCTATGCTTTCAACTTTTCACTGGTTCCCTGACTGATATCTATACATGAGGAATACCTTTTTCTTCAATCAACCACTTACTAGAAAACCTTCCATTTCAGATTTATTTGTTTGATATATAGCCCACAGTGATACAGTTTTATTCACTGGATAACGTCTCGAGCATAAATTATTATCGCTCATAATCACATCAATGCAATCGCACTACTTTCAACATCTACTGTTTACAGTCCTATCACCTGATATTCTTCGTTTTCTAGATAACTGATCTTATTCAGGTCTGTCATTCTATATTTAGCTAAATTCCTATGTTCCACTATTATAATTGACCCCGACCGTCTAGTGTGACCTCACAGTCATTACATGGAATTCGGTGGATTAGATTATTTTGCTTAATTGGTTCTATCGGATCCTTAAGCTAGCCGACAAAGCTTATCTCCGAGTGAGTTTGTAGGTTGAAATGCCAACCTAATTCCAGCCTTGTTGACGATCCTACGTGAAATTTCTCTTCTAATATGTACTTACGTTCTTTGTTTAGGTCGTTGCACTGACTAGTCAGTTTCCTAGATCTATCATTTGGACATTTGATTAAAAGCATTTTAAATGAGATGACTTGAAGTTTAGAAACCTGTTGGAATGTTTCTTTTTTCTGTAGACATTAGTATCCAAACCACCATCTGTCCTTAGTTTTATCCTGCAGTCCAACATGGGGTGATTCTCCTTGTTCATTTTCTACCTTGTAAGTGAATGAGATAGTGCCTACTACTGAGTTTATATATGTGAATAAATTGTCGATATCCTCTGGTTTCAACACAGTGAATGTGTCATCCACATATCGCCACCATATCTTAATTGCAGGACTGAACGTTTATAAAGCCAAGTTTTCCCAACTATCGATAAATATACCTGCTACGATTGGGGATATTGGCGATCCCATTTCTACTCCTTCTGTTTGTCTATCTATCTTGTCCTGAAACTTGAAGACTGTGGAGGTCAGGAGGATTGCAGGATAAAACGAAGAACAGATGATAGTTTGGATACTACCAATAGAAAGAAAGAATAAAAGGGGATAGGACCATACAAAGCAGATATTGAAAAGAGTGATTACATTGATATGATTATGAGCGTTAATGATTTATGTTGGAAACGCCATCAAGTAAATAATACTGTATCACTGTGTGTTATAAATCAAATAAATAAATAAATCTAATACGGAATTTCCTTCTGCCAGTGCCCAAGTTTTACACTTATACTAACAAACCGCCAAACGGAAGAGAAAAAGAGTTCCCATCAAATGACCGTATGGGATATGAACACTTATTGGGACACATGAACATTACAAGAAGAATAAAAAAGAAACATAACTTACCATTAACTACTCCAATGTCACAACATCACCGCATTCTACATGAACGCGACTATGTGCCTGCACAAACTTTGGACTGATATGTCGTAAATCTCGTCGAAATCGTTTCAATAGAACAGTTCGATTGACTGTTCCTGATGATGTATTAGATGCATTACTACTTGTCGATGTTGTCGTTGCAATTGTCGGTGATCGACAAAATTGTTGACAATTTTGACTAGTTTCCCTTATATCACATACACGTATATCACAATGTAAGTAAAGATTTGAATACATAGGTACGACTGATCCAGCAGTATTAAGATAGAAAGCACTAAATGTGAATCCAACTTGTGTTGATGATGATGGTATAACCATAAGGTCACCGAATGCAACACATCTATATACACATAAAATAAGAGCAGGAGAGAGAAACATAAATTCAGATGAACAAGACAAAATATTATTATTGAAGATATGCTCAATCATGTTTTAATCAACTGTATCATCAAAATGGATATACATTAAAGTGAGTCGACAAAAAGTATTCCATCCAACTTTTCATCTACCGTGAACGTCATCAAAAAAAGGATATGTGTGATAAAATTGGTGGTTCATGAAGATCAATTGATCTCAGAACAGACTGCTGACAACTACTGTACTAGATCAAAACAGCTGTCCAGTCTTCACAGGTTTTCAGTCGTTCTCTAACTAATGTCAGTCCCTGATGAATAACTTCCTTGAAGTATCTCTGTAATATATTGAAAATACTTTAGCTATTAAAGGTTTTAAATGTTCGACTGTTAAGTCAGTTGATATAGAAGTGAACATTTATTGACTGAAGCAGCTGTGATAAGTCATATGCATACTGACCCACTGGTCACGATAACGGCAAAATAGTAGTTAGAGTAGTATTGCACTGGGAAAAGACCATACCAAAGATTCCTATTTCCTAGAGGTAGGTATAAATATTAAGTCCAAAAATACTAGTGAAAACCAACAGTTTACATATCTTTACTAAGCAGGCGCCTAAACAGTTTACGACTCAATCTAATCTCGCCTAGTTTACTAGCCAGTTCTAAGCACGAATAAAGAGGGAAGGTTAGGCGTGGGACTGCCAACTCTACCTTATAAAACCAATCTAATCGCTAAAGAAACTTAAAGCACAGAAAAATAAAAACAAAAATAATTCCTCGCTGGAATAGGAGAGACAAAATGGCACCGGCTCGTAAAAGGCTTCGGGAAACCAATTGGCCGATGTATCTTCTCTTCTCTCGATGAAAGCAAAAGTAAGCAAAGTGACACGCAATGTCCAAACAATGTATGAAGCTGGCTGGCATGGCTGTCCAGAGTGCAAAAGAGATGGGAAGATGGAGCATAGAACTGCTAGGAATCTGAGAGGAATCCGCAGATGGCATGGAAGTGAACTCGACTCTCCAAACTGTCAACTCCAGACTCAATAATCTACTCCAACATTCTCACCCACACGAAAAACACGAGCACAATCAGTTTTCCAGTGGCTATCATGATGTCCCCCTCCCAAGAACATCAAACGCTCTCTCTCTCTCTCTCAGGCAGTGGGAACCAATCTCCACCTCCACGATCATGACAGCAAGATTCAACTCAAAAAGAAAGCAAAGTCACAATCATACAATACTACGCTACACTACGCGCCTACAAGTAATGCAGACCAAGAGAACAAGGAAGAATTCTACAGACAACTGCAATCACTACTGGACAAGACCCCACTCCAGTTGGCGACATCAAAATCCTAATGGGTGGGGTGACATGAATGCCAAACTCGGAGCAGACAACACACGAAGAGAACTCATCATGGGTCGAGAGGCACCACCGGGTGAAATGAATGAGAATGGAGGACTGTTAGCAGACTTTTGCGTATTCAACGATTTTGTGATTGGAGGCAGTGTGTACAAACACAAGGATATTCACAAGGCAGCGACATGGATCTGATTTCACCAGCTGGACACACTACACTGGAAATCAGATCCACTTCATCTCAATCTCATAAAAGTGGAGACGCAGCCTACTGGATGAAACATCATGAAGAGGAGCAGATGTAGTTTCACATCACTCATTGTCTAGTGCAAGGAACCTGACTTCAAAATCAAGTTGAAAGCCATCAAAGAAGCTGGTGATAGACCACAGTTCAGGTTCAATACCCATGTAGCTTGGTACGCATCTTATTGACAAGAATGAAAAGGTGATAACTGAGCTAGTACACTCATTTTTGTAGTCAATAAAACAAACGTCTTATGCATCTCGTCCTGTGATTTTAGCAGTAAATTAGCAACCAAGCAAAACAACTGGAGACTAAGTGGTTGAGTCCCATGATGCAACCAAAGTTGATTACTAGAAACCTAAGTGGATATGACAAAGCATTCATATCTTGTCTTCATTTTAATAGGGTTTTAGAGAAAAGAAGAGATAATTCAGAGAAGGAAAATTTTTTTCGACGATATCATTTTCTAAAGCTGCACAATCGTATTTATATATATATCACAAACATATCCATCATCAGCATCATCCAAATCAACATAGGACCAGGGCATTATTCTGTAACGGTCCAATTTGCCACAGATCATATCAGTACATCAAGTAAAAAGGGAGTGAAGTGGAAGATGAAGAAAAGAAAATTCAGTCAAAAGAACTTTAAAGTAGTAAAAGAGAGAAATGAGGAAATGGTGAGATTCGGTATAGCGTTAAGATGAGGATAATGTGTGTAAACATCTGGGTCACTGAAATCGGTTCTAAGCCATATCGTCTAGAGTCTCCAACCGGCCAGTCTGCATCGCCCCACATGCCTAAAACCAGCAGTTAAAGACTTCATACATTGATACCATGTTTTAGTTTGGCAGCCTCGAGCCTTTTTCCAGCCTGAATGATGTGTTGAGTACTGGTAACGACCGAAATAAAATTATTTTGGTCTGAATGAGAGAAACAACTCAGCGGTGCAAACTAACGTGACCCAGACAAGTTCCTGAATTCTACTGTATAGTTCCCGAACTTCCGCGACTGATGCACAGTCAAAGATTGGATCAACAATATCAAAAACACGACTTGTAGTAAATCTGTGATAAATTCGTAATAAATCTGTGGTACTTTTAAAGCAACAATAAGTGATATCAAAATTATAAAAATACCTCAACAGTTCCGTTGGCTAACTATACAGTTCAAACGTTCTCGAGCACGAATACTGAGAATCAACAAGAATAATCTCGACAAGATGGGATCAAAAACTGTCTACCAGAGTCAAATCAATAAATAAGTGTTTTCAGTAGCCAGTCAAAAGATGAGCAGTCAGATCACAGATCAAACTTAAGTTGAGCCAAAACAAAATGTCAGGAACAGTAAAACAACGCCACGTTGTCAACAGTCCAGCATCATAGAACAGTAAAGTGAAGCATTCATGATAAGTCTCAATCAAACGAAGAAAATAATGAGTGTAAAGTCAAAGAAGACAGTCAAATGATAAGATAACATTACATCGGTTAGGGTCAAAGGCACAATATCCATAATGAGGGGAAAAATATTCAAATAAATGTCAGTAATGTTAAATAGAGAGCTCAAAAGGGATTTTCGAATCATTCATTCCGTTACACCTACTTCAGCCAACATTCTGTGACGAGACAGTCGGTGATTAAGCATACGTAACACATGTAGGAGCCAACTATCTCAGTCTATGAAGGTCCACAAACTCGTCAACTGACTTATCTTTCCCTAAAACTCTACACCTAACTTCTGCATTACTCGGGTGGTGACACTACGAAACATCAAAGGCAACGGTGGTCAAACACCTGAAGCCAGCCTTCTCATGTCTTCCACCTTCAATGGCCATGTTTCACAGCCATACAGTAGAACAGACCGAACTGCTGTGCAGTACACGCGACCCTTAATAGATAATGGGATATTACGGTGGTGCCATAGGTGGCGTAAGTTGGCAAAAGCCGGCCGAGCCTTTTGTATCCGTGCAGAAATTTCGTCGGCCACTGGGGCAGCCACCAGGGCCGACCCTACTTCCCAGGTAAGTGAAGTGGTCGACACACTCAACCACTACACTCTCTATTGTTGGCCGAGGCATCGTTGAAGATCAATCGTAGAGCAGCAATTTGCATTTGGGTGGTGAGAAACCTATCCCAAACATTCTCAAGTTGCTACTCAAAGTGTCCAGAAGACTCTGCATCTAACAGTCTATTATTAAACAATAGTGTATAATTGCATCATTAACCTAGTGCTAAAAAACCGGAGTCAAAAATGGAAAGTAGTTGCATAATAATCTCCTAGACAGTAGAAATAATGGGAAAGGCAAGGAGTTTGACATAGTGAAAATTGTTGGTAGATAAGAAATGCGAATATTGAGTGTCCACTTGTTAGACAGATGTAAAGAAGGTGAAGAATGAGACAAGGGTCATAATGGAGGTGATCATAATAAACTAATTAATTATGATGAAATCGAAATACGTGAAAGTGTTAAGACCATGGTAAGATTGAACATACTTCTTTTGTACGCAGAAATCAGGCTTGAACTGATGAATTGCCAGTGCTTCCGCTGTGCACAACTGTCGAAGGTGTACTCTTTTTGAACTATTCCACTTGACACGATAAATGACACTGAAGGAGGATTTTAGTAGAGCATTGTGTCCAGAGTTGACGAAAATGTTCAAGAATTGAACTGTTAGTTGATTTACATTCTCCCCTCGACAACCATACAAGATAGTGCTCAGAGATACGTTTGGAAAGTGTGCGCTTTGTGCGACCTATATAACTGGCTCCACAGTAGCAAGTAAATTTGTAAACACACATTCAGGCGGCCCAAAGCTGCAACTTGTCCTTAACGCACTCCAGAGCCAGTTGCTGACTAGAGGAGTTGATCTGTAGCTTCACAGAGAAGAATATCTTCTTCAGCTATCTGGACATCCGATTCTTCAGGATCTCTGCTGCCGTATCGCTTTTGAAACAAGGTCTTATTTGGAACTGTGAGTACTTGCTCCATGTTCTGTTTTAATCTCAAGTTCTTCACAATGAACCTGGATGAGGTTTCTTATTTATTAGTTTAGTCCCAGTTTTTACTTCCGTCTACCATTTTTCCTCACCAAGCAGATGCGAATCCTTGCTTCCTATTTGGTCTAGGTTGACACCTCCTCAGATAATACGAAGTGGAGTGGTTGGATGCTTTGAGCACTTCACTTCAGCAGTTGGATGATTCCTAATGTGTCGGTAATGGAGGAAATCTATACGCGGGTGCAGAAAGCCCCACTAACTTTAGAAAACGTATGTTGCCTCTATGGTAGACCACCAGCATGGATACCAAATAGCTCGTCAAGAGTCAATTTTAGAGTTCAGCAATTCGTTCTGTCCCACACTTTAGCCGTGAAACAAGGT